TCATTAATACAGGCTTTGTATTAATGAATAGAAAGCCTGCCGTGATTGGCTCAGCGCTGAGCCAATCAGCACTGAGCCAATGTTCCTCCGTGTTCCTCCGCGGCAGCCGAAAATGGTAAAATAGTCCCCTCTCTTCTGCTGTCAGTTCAGCGGGGGAGAGAGGGAACTACTGCATAACAAAATTAATTGGACTGGGACCGCTATCGCTGTGTCCCTTTGGTAATGCGGACCTGGGCTCTCGTGCCAGCAGAGGGGGCCCCACGTGCCCACTCTGGCACGCGTGCCATAAGTTCGCCACCGCTGCTATAGGTAGTCGATTATGTTGACTATCTTAGACCCTTCAAGGCTTAATAAAAATAAAGAATCTCCACTGTACACTGGACACCATAGTGTTTACTTCACACCGCGCTCTGCAGTTTATATTCCATTTATAGCAGTAGTAGAGTCTAGCCATTGATGAATGCAGAAAGTTTGGAGTTTAAATGATGCCTTTAATTGGCTAACTCAAATTATTAAAGATGCAAGCTTTCTGGATCTTTCTTCAGGCTTTGTATAAAGTCATATAAGCTGTATAGGGTATGCTGTCACTTGAAGAACAGTACCACTTGTGGCTTATGTGGAGGATACACATAAACCACAAGCACTGTTTCTTCAAGTGATAGGATAACCTTTAGATTTTATATGATGTTAGGTGTGGCAATGCTGGAGTGAAAAAACTGGAGAAGGAATGTGGATATTCTATCGCATTTGTAATGTCAGGTAACATAGAACAATAGAGTTCAAAGCAAACATCTAAGGGCACTTTTGCACACATATAGCCAAATTGTAAAGTCAAGTTGAAAGCTGCCAAATAAAGACTCTGATTTGTGAATACCAATATTATGAATCACAACTTGGCTTACCAAACATGGCTACTGTCAAGAGGCAGCAGGCTTGTTAGCCTATAGTGAACTCGATGTCTCTTGACAGTAGGCATGTTGGTAGTAGGCATTTTGTTCATTCAGTTTTGTAACCCATTCACTATAGCCAGCCATCTGCGCATGCATTGAGTAGAGATTTTTCTTTATATGTATGTGCATAAAGAGTATAAGGAGTGGATTATCATGGACAGAAAACCACAGCTGTGGCCCGTAAATATTGTCCAGCCTGGGATAGCCTGGCAGTGTGAGGTAAGATTATATACTTAGCAGAGATGAATAGGGCCAGGAGGAGGGTTTATTAATTAAAAAAAAACTACACCCTTTTAAAAGAGTTCTCTTGGTTTTTAATGTCTGAGCTCCTTTACAACCTCACAATTGCAGGTTACCAAAGGCAAGCAATTAATAGTGGATGTTATGATGACTGTCACTCAATGCTGCTAAATTCAACAAAACTGAAAAGCAACCATTTTGTTTATTCGCATCTTAGGGCTGCAACAGCCACTCCGAGCTGATGAATCTTGGGAGGAACAGTCTGTTTAGGTATTGTTCTTTGGTTCCTGAAAAACATAACTAGTGCCTGCTGAACACTATCCCCAAGTGCCAATTTATGTAAGAGCTTATTACCTTGCAGTCCATTCTACAAAGCTTCCCTTCTTGAACTATCAGATCGCCAGGAGCTTGCAAGAAATGAGGACGGAAAAATCTTTCTTGGATGGGTTCATTCTCATCTCCGCTATCTCTTGACCGAGATCGAGGCCTAGGACAAAAACAGAGACAAAGGCATGATGTAGTTAGTCATGGCTCTTCAAGAATATGCTTTGTGCAACTGAAAAGCTAGACTATGATACTATCAGCCAAAAATGCCGGGTGGCCAAAAGCCCTGTAGTTTATACAAAAATATCCCAGGATATTGTTTCAAAGCTCTGTGGTAAGACACCATATAAATAATTTGTGATACATACCACGCGCAGTATATACAGCACACGTCTGAGTAATGTTTTTCTATTTAAAGTAATGGAAAACCAGATGATTCAGATGAAGTTTTAATATCTTCAGTGTCCCTTATTCCTTTAAAAAATCAATTACTCTTTCAATGTCTCCAACATTAAAGGCTATTGTGTAACACAACAGAAATGTTTCATATGAAGCCACACCATACTTTATAAGCTATCATAACAAAAAAAGATGTGGTTTGTTCCAAATTTTAAACCAGTAACTGAAAAAATAGAATGAAGAAAATATTCAAGTGAATATATGTTAGAGCTCAGCAAAGGAAGAAGACAATGCTCTCAGCATAGAGGAATTTTCTTCAGTCTAAGTAAATCTCATCAGTTACCCTATAATTGGGGGTCAGCTATCCAAGACTTTTGGGCTATATATTTGTCAAGGCATTGGGGCAAACATGTCTTAGTAAACTGAATCTTACGTAAAGTAAACTGGCCTTAACAGAAATGGGCTGCCATGCTGAAAATTGGTAGTTGCCTGGCTGTTATGTTGACTCTTTGACTGTGTTACTGATCCAGCTAAAGTATGCAGGCTAGGAAGGTCCCTTAAAAGTAAGAAATCTTTATCTGCAAGCATGTTCCAGAGTCAAAGTATTAAAAGCAAGAAGGTCTTCACAACAGCCAGGAAAATAAAATTTTCAGATATACAGGTCAGCAATAACAGCCTACATTACAGGCTTCCTGTCACACATCAAAAGCAAAGTTAATCTGCTATTTGTGGTTCTACCACCATGTGGTTACTCCTACCCTACTACGGCCTGCTTTGTTCCAGGACCAGCTGGCTGGTATAGCACCTACATGGCCAGTCACTGTCCAGCAAGTCAAACGATTTAACTATTTATCTGTGCTCAGACAAACACCTATGGAGTGAGCAATAAGCTCTTTTCCTAAACTCCTGTCTGTGTTAGCTCCTGCTCTACTTTATTCCTGTTTCTCCAGTTGCCGACTTCAGGTTCTATCTGACTATACTTGTTCACTGTCCATCAAGATCTTTTGCTTGTCCCTGTTTCTGATATTGCCTGTGGTCTCTGTGCCACACTCTGGTTTAATCCCTGTTCAGCTGCCACCTGAAAAGGTGTGTCTGAGGCCTAAAACCTGGTGGCCTGGACAAATGTGACATGAAGAAGTACTGATACAAATTAACTCTGTCTCTGGTCAGTCTCTTAAAGTGGATCTAGTAAGTAACCAACTATGCATACACACCATTAGGTGTCCTGATAATCAGAGTAAAATCCAGTAAAAAGTTGAGCTCAGTGAAAAATAACCATTAGGATTCTGGCCAAACAGTATGCATACATTTTTTTATTTTCATCCATTACTGTTAATAACAATCAACGTCTGACAATGCCAGTAGTACTGTACATACCTTCGAATGTGAGGCTGCGTTGTGGGCGTGCGGGGACTCCTTCCCCTCTGGTTCACAGCCTGCACCATCAGTCTACCAGTACAACTAACTCTGCCCTGTAGACAGCAACAGATAATTATTCAATAAAATGTAATTTTTTTGCAAATGGAAAAGGAGAAAACATTTATGGTAATTAGAAAGCAATATATATATATA